ATTCAAAGTTTTTTTTTATAAATCCTTTGAATGTATGCTAAAATCAACTTATATTGAAAAATGCAGGCTTGCCTTTTGCATGGTAATTTAAATCCTCATTTTATTGGACTAAAAAGAGTAACCACAAATACATTTAAGTTATCATCGCTTCCTCCAACACAAGATATAGCCCGTTTCCACAGTCTCCGAGTTTATCTCCAGGTTCAGTCGTGGCTCGACAAATACTGTGATCCTGAAGATTGGGGCTAGAAAAAGAATGGAAAAATTTGGATACTAATCCAAACTTCCAAGAACCCTGAACTTCTGCCGAAAAACAGGCCTCAAATGCTCTGTGGTGTGCCTCAGTTATTCTGGTGAAACCTGCAGTGATATCATGGAGATATCAAAATTTTTCGAAGAAAATGAATTCGAAGATGAAGTACCCACAATGACGCCAATTGAATTGGCGCAGTGGTAATGCGCCCGACTCATGACTGGAAGGTGGTGAGTTCGATACCAACCTCGACAAGTTGAAGTTGGGATGATTCTGCAACGTTACATGGCTGACGAACTGCGAATAGTCATGATGCTCCCTGGGTGGCTCAGGGAGGTATTAACATTGCCTACCCAGGACACGAGGCTAATGACCAATGTAGTCGATGTCGATGACCCCAAGATAAACGCGCCTTCAGGCTCTACCTCATAGGTGGTGACAAAAATAGCGAAAATTACATAGATGTGTTAACAAAATAATAAATGATATGAATAGAAAAAGATATAATAGAACACTAAGCGTAATGGTGTCTTTTTATCGTATTATCGTAGAACAGGAGTTCTACTTTAAATGAATGGTAACAAATTGCACTTACATGGTAGACATCCTCACTGGTAGACATCGATGTTTCGTCGTAAGACACTTGCCTTAGGGCACATCCATGTATAGAGTTACTTATTTTCAAATTGATTACTTCCTTTCTTTGGAAGATTCCCACATTTTTTGTATCAAGATGGAGTAGTAGAAAACCAGAAACGTTCATTCCCAAAAATTAATCACTCCTAAAAATATAACCCCTTCAATACGAATAAAAAATGTTCAATAATGAAAACGACAGTTGGTCGTAGTATTCACCTAATCACAAACTACTTGTTTCGAGACTCTTGGAGCTCTTCATCTCCTACATAGGCATGATTCACAATTTTGGTAGTCTATGATGTCCCGACCCTTATGGCCTTCTAATGTTTTCTTATAAACAACTTGCTTTTCTATTTTATGTTTCAGAAAAAATGTGGTGGACTGTATTACCTATTCTACTTCTGCCATTAGCGTCTCATGCACGAATGGATTGCTCCAGAATAGAGTACGATAAATGTGTAAGAATAGCAGATCCGTTGGTTAAAGAAGCTCATTTGGTTTTTCCTGACAATTTGAACGATATTGATCAAGTTTGTACTACTTGGAATCAATTCGTAGACTGTTTGAAAATATACACCGATGAATGTTTTACGGATCAGCAGAGGAAACAGTTCAACAGAGCTGTCGAAAGCCCTATTGAAAGTGTTCATGAAATGTGTATGCAACCTAGTTACCAAAAAGGTATCTTATACTTCAATTCATTAAAACTTAATATTACATATTTAAAAAAATCTTCGAAATTTAATGCAGATTGTGGGAGTTCATTTGCATTTCCTTTTTTGGATTCATAAATGGTGTAGGTAACTGAATTTTCTGATATTTCAGAATACCTGCAGTATGCTCCATGTATAAAAAATACAATCATTCAGAAAATCCACTGTGGACAACAATACAATTTGCTGGTAGAACAAGTAGATCAAGGAGAAATAATTTCAAAATCTACGCTTTGTTGGTGAGTTTAATTATGTCTGTAAATTTAAAGATTTCATGTCGTTCATATTATCTACAAAATTCCACTTTGGGCAAATTGGTTCAAAACATATTTCTTATTAGTTTCCAGTCATTTTTCTACATTTTAGCGGAACAACTTTAAACAATGAAATTTTCCAAATAACTGAAATTAATTGAAGAAAACGCTTTAGCGAAACGTGCGTTGTAAAACATTATACTTGTTCTGGTGTGGGAAAAGAGTTTTCTTTAGATTCATTCATTTAGATTCATGAAAAACAGAGGTTGCATCTACGCAACCAACTGATCTTTTCCTTTCCCACATATTTATTGTATCATTCGGAGAGTATTATTTTATGTAAGAGGTTCCAATTCAACCTATCAAAATGACTGGAATTAATTTTGAATATTCTCTCGTTTTAATATTCAGTCCGGAAAAAAATAACCTCAAAAACTAATCGAATCAAATGACAAGGAGTGTTGTATTAGAATATTGGTAACCTATTCAACGAACCTATATTTTATGAATATTTTTACGTCATGTAGGAATCGTTTACATGTACATACTTCAAATTGTATGAGAAGCACCTGTAACTGTCCTAGCATCGACAAACTATCAAAAATCTTATTCTAGATCAGCATATGAGTTGTAGTGAACACATTGAAAATGTTATTGAAAGCCTGTGGCCATTATAAAATTATTATATTTTAAGGTAAGAAACACTGTTGACGGTATCTAAGCACTGGTAGAATCAGTCATATATCTGTTCAAGAAATAAGGTGAATTTCAATTTTTTTTTTATATTTATTTATTCATCAATTTCTATTTTGTTCCCTTGAAAGTAGTCCGTCTCAGATATAATAATAGGCCAGGGTCGATAATTTTTGAAAAAAAAACAGTGGGATGAAACCCATTAGACAAGAAGAGAAATATTATAAAAATGGAAGGAAAAATAAATTACGGGCGATCTGAGTTCGGGAAGTGGGAGGGGGTGAGTTTTAGACTAAAAAATGGTTTTTCTCGATATCCGGCAAAACTACGAGTCCTATGGAAAAAATTGAGTGGCAAAGTTGTAGGTAATAGAAAGATCTACAACTTTTGTTTTTTCACATAACCTCAACATTTATGTGAAAAATTCAAATAACCAAGTTAAAAAAAATTTACCAAATTCCGTGAAAACTAACTGTTTTATGTCCCAAATACACTGTAATTTATTTGATTCAAAATATTTATTTTTTCACCTTATTTTGACTTACTATCAAAAAAGCACCCTAATTTTCAATCGAAAATTCTCGCTTCAAAATATCAATTTTTTTCAAAAAGTCGGTGTGCTTTTTATTCGTTGAAATCTTTACTTTCTGATGGTGTGAAAAAATATAAATTATAATATTTTTCAAAACGTTAATCTTGTGATTTATAAATACCATATCTTGAATTCTTATCACTTATCCATTAGTTTTTGTCTCTTTGATGGAATTTCTTCATCGTTAGATTCGATAAACCTTTCCAATTCTAGTTGATCTTTGAAATCTTCAAGACCATTACCTTCTTCGTCTACAATATTATTTTCAGTCTGTATTGGTTCTTCATCCACAATTTCATCTGAATCATTAACTTAGTCGTAGGTTTTTTCTTTCATATTAGAGCAATTTTCAGAACCATGACAATTTGAACATAAAATTGTGCATTTTAAACCATGTTTTCGACAGCCACATTTTAAACTGTTACATCCAGTTTCACAGCTGCAGCAAATAGTTTTAAATAATACTTGAAAAATTCATTTATTTTCTGTAAATTTGGGCATAATGCCACGTTGATGTTGCTTTCAACCCCAATCTGTTGCTGTCAGTTCGTAACCCAACCAAGTTCGAAGCTGATAATATGCCCTGTAACAATTTTGTTCTGATGCTCCTTCTGTGGGTGGGAGGTTTGCCAAAATGAAAGATGATTTAATGTTTGCCAATTGATATTTTTGAAATCTCAATTGATTCAGTGTTGTTTTATAAATAGATTTGATCAATTGTAATCCATTTTTTAATATCTTCTTTACTTGCCAAATTTGACAAACTTTTAGTGTCTAATAATGAATTTACGACACTTTTTCTCCTTTTCCGGTCAATCCAGATGTTGTATCGCAACAAGAAAAACAATGCAGAAATGCAACAATATTTTTGAAGGATTCATGTTTGAAACTATCAGACGTGAAAAATAGATCATTTACATTAACAGAACCTGGTTTGAGAAAGTAAATCATTCATGATTATTTGAATTTAATTGATTCAAAAGGAACAAAAGATCAATATCTTGACCCACAACAATGACAGTTCTATTAGTATCTTCTTTCTATCGAGGTTTAATTATGTCAGTATCAGCACCTTCTTCTACTTGTTTACAGGAAATTCCTTGTGACTGTGATCTTTTCATTAAAGTTTTTATTATTTTGTCCTTGTATTTCTCGTTAAATAAAAATTTTAGTTTGCAAAAATGGTATTTTTGTATGATTTTGATAATCAAACTCTGGAATATTGTCTGATCCTCCTAACTTCTTTCCCACTTCTCTATGAAATACCTTTTAATGGGCTAAAATTTTCCGTAGGTCACTTAGGTATATACATTATTTCAAATCAGCAATAAATAGGCATCTACAAATATTATTTAAAGAAGATTCTACAACCTTCTTAAAATATTGTAGATGTCTTATTAAATAGCAACTTCATTAACTTATTTGTCTGTTAATTATAGTAGTATATTTCGACTTGCAATTTTTATCAATGTTACATGCAATCTTACGTTTTTTGAGTAATTAAAGTGTAACATACTCTTCAAATTCGCACACCGACTTTTTGAAAAAAGCTGATATTTTGATGCGAGAATTTTTGATTGAAAATTAGGGAGCTTTTTTGATATTAAGTCAAAATAAAGTGAAAAAATTAATATTTTAAACCAAATAAATTACGGTGTATTTGGAGCATAAAAAAGTGAGTTTTCACTTAATTTCGTAATTTTTTTTTTAAGATAAAAATAAAAAACCAAAAACTTTGTTATTTGAATTTTTCACATAAATTTTGACGTTATGTAAAGAAATTATAAATACAAAAGATGTAGATCTTTCTATTACTTTCAACTTTGCCATTCAACTTTTTTCCATAGGACTTGTAGTTTTGCCGGAAATCGAGATAAACCATTTTTTACCCTTAAAAACTCACCGCCTCTCATTTCCCGAACTCATATCGCCCGTAATTTGTTTTCCTTTCATTTTTATCATATTCCTCTCCTTTTCCAATGGGTTTCATCCTACTATCATTTGTTTTCACTTTTTACCTATTTTGAAGGCTTCAGCCCTGGTCTATAAATACATCACTGCTAGCGTTTTTTCCAATCGAAGCGGAAGCGGAGTCGAAGCGGAATGGTTTTTATCTCCTGAATCGTCACATAAAACCTTCCTTCCATGGGTATCTTCAACCTTATAAAGGGGAAGAAGTCGCAGGGGGGCAAATCTGGTGAATACGGTGGATGAGGCATGATTGTGGTGTTGTTTTTTGCTAAAAAATTATGAACAATGACGTGTGAGGAAGTGCATTATTGTAATGAAAAAGCCATGATTTGTTTTTTCACAATACCAGACGTTTCCTTCGTATTGCTTCTCGCAAGCGGTGCATGAGTTCAAGATAATAATTCTTATTGGCAGTACGGCCATATGGCAAGAACTCCTGATGCAGTACGTTGTTATTCACATCTTCTCGACCTTCAGTGAAAAGCTTGTACCACTGAAAACATTTTTCTGACTGCGTACAATCACAGTATACGACTGTCAACATTTCAAGTGTTTTTGAGCACTTAATTTCATTTTCACACAAAATTTATTGCAAATTCTTTGAACCATTTTTTTTTTCGACTGGTATGCCTTTCACCAACAAAAGAAACACGCTAAACAGCTGAAACTGTGAACAATGCTAATCGAATGTACGTTGCCCGCGAAATTTGAACATTCGCCTTATTTCTTGAACAGCCGGCGTATTGCAAAACAATTCAAACATATATTTTAACGCATCATAATAAAGGCTTGAGAAAGCAATACTATAATATAAATATTATTTATGTAATTTCAGTATCAGAAGTAGTATAGCTTGTTTAGTTTCGAACACATTGTTTTATAGAATGAACTCACAGTAACATAATCGAAAATTTTTTTTCTTTTTCAGTTCGCATGACAGGTTCAAACAATGTGTTCAACGTGAAACGAGAAGGTTATGTGACAGGGGAGTTTCGAATGGGCCGGCTAGTAGGTTTGCCATTCAAATAATCGATAAAGCTTTACGATTTCTCCAAGACCAGTGCCTTAATTACATGTGAGTTGGATTTTTTTTTCAATAGAATTCTAGAACAGGAATAACAATTCCTTCATTTATTTTGCGTGGATGTGAAAATGCACTGCATGAAAATTCCTGAAGCGGTCTGAGAACGGTGTCTGAGTGATTCACGTTGGGTTTCAAAACTTGTAGATTGATTTCATTTGGAGAAACGGTCTCAGGAAGTTTATTCCACAAGGATGCTGATCTCCAAATTAGAGAAATTCTGGAAAGAGTACTTCAAGGTATAATGAGTTGAACCTCAAAATGATTTGCTGCTGTAACTCAGCCTGTAGCGCAACGTATGCCTCTCTTGGAGGAATCAAGATACCAATTCTGAATGAAATACAATGGTTTTCAAAGTACGCCTGATGGCTGAATGTGAGCCATTCGCGATGTGCAAGTCATTTAATTGTTTCGGTGTAAACCTACAGCTTTCAGATTAAAATTTTTCGAAACGGCATCTTTCAAATCTAGCAAGGTGATTGTGTCATGACATATTGTCACACGTGTTAGTTTCTGTTATCACAAGTTAAATTTTAATTTGTCTTGGATTTCTCTCTAAACTAATCTGGAACGTAACCGAAGCAACTCATAACATATAGAATATTTGCACTTTCTCGTATTTCTTCGAAATGATCTTGATCAACTGACTCTCATTCGCGTCTATAGCATTCTAGAGACCGTTACGTTCGGTTGACGCTGCCGTGTTGAAAACATGAAGGGTCAGGTCTGTTTTTCCAATTGCAATTTCAACGTAGCTCAACGGTGTCCTCTTCTCAAGTTACTTCATCCCAGGAAACGTGCCTGCTTGATTCAATGTAATCAAACAGGAAGATCGCTATCACTGTAGGGAACCAGTCTTTCTACAAGAACGACAATTGGTTTCCTCCTTGAACTTAGTTTGATGAGGTAGACCAAAACTGTTTTTCTGTCTTAACAGCTTATTCATCTAATTGCTGGTAATTCAACTGCTTGCAGCAACTATACCTTACTCAAAATTTTATCATCGATCGAAATAGTTCTGAAAGTACTCCATGTCTGGTAACCTTGCTGAACACCTCTGGCATCGTAACAACCTCTTGATTTGGAATAAGGACAATTTCGGGCCAATCTGAGAAAAAGTCCAATAAAAACATCAAACATTTTATTCCTTGGTGACGAGAAAATTTCTAATGAGAACGCACTGTGACTCTTCCGTGACAATTTTTTTGAATAGCATAGGTCGTTTACACCTTTCCTCATGATCATGGCCTCAGTTGACCCTTCTGTTCCCCTTCTTTGTAGTTATTTCAGTACATTTGATTTGTGTTGTGGGTAAGGTCAATTGAAGTACTACCGTTTTTCTTATTTGGGCCCTCTCACTTGCGATACAATGATATATGGTGGATTGATAGAAAATCTCACTGAGCCAAGTGAGCCTTAGTTATTGCACCATGCATGGAGACTTGCTGCCAAAACCGAGTACGGTTTTTCTTCTACATTTTTTTATCTCAGCCGTTGTACTTATGCTTTATCCAAATGTCAGTTGTGAGATTTTTTAGATTCATTTCTTTGCATGTTTGTAAAATATACCATTCAGCTACAATTCTTGCAACTCTTGGACTCTTGTCAGCACATTTGATTGTTCAATATTTTTAAATGATACTATCATTATGTTCGGCAAAAAACTAATTTGTTTCCATATATTTTATTTCAGTCCAAACTCTGGAGATTGTTCCATCAATCCCACAAATTTCCATGCAGACAGATCAGATCCTCATATTGTTTCTACGTCGTCTAGCGAAATCTACCGCTGGAGTACTGATCAGGAATTATTGCCTAAAATAGAACCGTCCTCCAGACCTCCTTTTAAAACGCCAACACCATTTACTTGGGGATCGTCAAGCTCATCGACCGGTAGAAGTATCTCTCCTGGAGAATTTCCAACACAAATGTTGGGTTCAAGAACAAGACCGGCTTCGTATGGAAGATCCAATAGCTGGACTGAAGGTGTCAGTAATCAAAATACAGTAGGAAATACTGTTCAAATGTACCCAGAACGGTCCTCCACTAGATCTACAAAACCTGAGTGGACTACTATGTCATCTTGGAGTAATAGAGAAGAAATTTCAACTCATCCAAGTATGTTACCGAATATCCCAAGAATATTCAACGAAAGTCATTTTTTGTGGTGGAAAATCAGTTTTTCATCGACATTTTTTTGGGTATTTTTTACCTTCCACTATCTGTAAAATATGAAAATATAATGGAGAACTTCATACTAGTGTAGAAAGGGCATACTATTTAGCTTACCCCGATAAGTTACTGCGTAAAATCAAAGTATTTTTCACACAGAAAAATATTCTACTCATCAGTAACTTGTATTTAACAATTTTGCTTATCAAAAAATTGCTAAGAAATAATACAATACTCATCTTAACGTTTCGGAGGCCATAATCTGCCTCCGTCTTCAGAAATGGACAAAAAATTCAAAGATATTTGCAGTTATCCCTTTGCTGATTATTTCTCAACTTCTTCCACAAATGTCAGAGGCGTTTTGAAATATGAAAATTATGTCAGTGTTGTTGATTGACAACTGAAACATTCGATGTAATACAAGGTGCTCTCCAATGTCAGTCTGTTGTAATTTCGCCACTATCAAAATTTTCCTTCAAGTTGGGTAGCCAAGTACGATTTATTTCTAATGCAATGCTTTTAGCTTACGTCTCTTAGAGTGAGGCTGATTGGTTGGTAATCATTCTTGTCTTGTTCCATTCAACTCGATGTTCACCGTCTGATTTTAAAATGTATTCTGACAATTTAGGTCCTGTCAATTGTCTATTTTTTATGTAATCTCGATGTTCATTCTCAAGCAGTTTCAATGATCTCGAAGTTTCACCAATATAACTTTTACCACAAGTATCTCAAAAATGCAATTTCTGTGTTTTCTTCAATATTGTTGTGCTTTGTTTGTTTTGAAAGTAGTTCTAAATTAAACCTATTTCCAATTCGTCTTATTTTTTCTGATAGTCCTGGAATGTAAGGTATAACGTAAGTTGTAAAAGGTATCGGTGAATTTCACTAGTTCGGACTTCCATTGTCTACTATATAAAATGATTTGAAATCCCTGAAACATCTAAAGAAGAATTAAAAATGAATAGCAGAAAATAACAATTATATTAAGCAAAATAAACGTGAAATGAAATAAAAGTGAAATAAAATACAAGTAAAAATAGAACAATTGAATAAATAAACAAATAAAGAAATGAAAAAAGAAAATAAAAATAAAAAGTGGAGAGATTCCAAGTCACGTTAGTTCACGACGTTTCGATTGTTGGTATCTACATTCGTCTTCGGGTGATGACTGGACTGATTCCTCCGAGAGATGACTATTTATAGGTCGTTCGAGTACTTTCACTTATCCCCGCTTTCCATTTTCCGCTTCACTGATTCCGTGGGAGATGACCGTTTGGCGGGAGTTGGCCATTTTTCGCTTGATGATGAGTTTCCATATGTTGCGTATTTCTACGCTGGCTTGACTGAATACGTTGTTGGACAACATGTATGCGGCTTCCTGGAATTTTCTCCTAAACCAATGTTCCTCTCTGTGCAAGATCTCAGCTTGGGACCACTCGATGTTTTGTTGATGGGTCCAAGCATGGTCTGCTATTCCTGATTTGCTGGTTTTCCTTCGCTGTGTGTATTTCTTGTGTGTATTTCAATGGCCTCGTAGTTTCACCCATATAGGATTTTCCGCACTCACAGGGTATCCGGTAAATGTAATTCTTGGAATCGCAGTCCGCGTTTGGTGGCCTGGTTTTCGTGAGGCTGCTACGGATAGTGTTACCGGATCTGAAGCAGGTTCTGATGTTGTACCTGGAACCAATTCTTCTCATCCCCTTTGATAATCCTCTGATGTAGGGAAGTGCAAGCACTGGTTGTGACGGCTTCTCTTCCTTGCGAGGCTTCTGCTGTCTTCTAGCCAAAGTCTTTTCTACCATCGCTTTGGAGTAGCCATTCCGTTGAAGATCATTTTTGATGATGTCTAGTTCCTTCTCGAGGCCTTCCTTCGTATTACAGAGCCCAAAAGCACGGTCTAATAGAGTCTCCCGCCAAACGGCCATCTCCCACGGAACCAGTGAAGCGGAAAATGGAAAGCGGGGATAAGTGAAAGTACTCGAACGACCTATAAATAGTCATCTCTCAGAGGAATCAGTCCAGTCATCACCCGAAGACGATTGTAGATACTAACAATCGAAACGTCGTGAAGTAACGTGACTTGGAATCTCTCCACTTTTTATTTTTATTTTCTTTTTTCATTTCTTTATTTTTTTATTTATTCAATTGTTCTATTTTTACTTGTATTTTATTTCACTATTATTTCATTTCAGGTTTATTTTGTTTTATATATGTTATTTTCAGCTATTCATTTTTAATTCTTCTTTTTTAGTTGATTCAGGGATTTCAAATCATTTTATATAGTAGACAATGGAAGTCCGAACTAGTGAAATTCATCATGAAACATTGTCAATCACCTTCAAACAAACGTATCGGTGAATGTTGAGTTGGTATCTGTTGAGTTGGAAGTTGTTGAATTTATGAAACTGTTTGTATGGTTGTTTGGTTTTTAATTGACTCTTTATTTTCTATTGCATTTATCGTTGAATTTATGAACAAATCTGGATAAGCGTTATCTTCAGAACATATTTAATTAATGCTATTTCTTTATTGAAATTTTCATTGCATATCGTTTTTGCTCTGTCGTAAAGACAATTCATTATATTATATTCAATCTTGTTCAATCTCTATTGTGACCTTTATTGTCGGTTTCCGCTCGTTGATATAACTCAAGAAAGTATTCAGATAATCATGGTTTCTATTGCAATCAGCAAAGATATCGTCAACATATCTCCGCCAATATTTCGGACCGTTCTGGTAAGTCTGAACAAAAAAGATTCTACACTTGTATAAAGTTCTCCATTATAATTTTTCTATTTTTCAGATTGTGGAAGGTATAAATACCTAAAAAAAAGTCGATAAAAAATCCCAAAAATATTTCTGTAGGGTCGCAGCTCTTGTCTAATTTTAATTTAACAATGTGTCAATATCAGATTAATTCATGGCACTTCACAAAACTGCAACACGTTTAAATTGGAAGAGGTGTATTTGAAAGAAGTTGTTGCAAAGTACTTTTTTTCGTGTAATTCAATGTTCATATGCAAGTAGGTAGTTGTCTGGAGAGGGCTGTTTTCTAGTTTGTATCTGAAAGTTACTTCTATGCATGATCTGCACATCTTTGTAAAAGTTAATTTTGATAGTAATTGTTTTCTTAATTCCTTTGGAAGTTTAATACATTTTTTGTAAAGATGGAGAAGTAGAAAGTCAAAAACCGTCCTTTTGCACAACATGTTTCATTACAGGATGGCATTTTCTGGCATGTCATTAAACACGCCTAATTTACATAATGTATTGCGGTTTTGTAAACTAAAAATGTCAAGTATTTTCTCAGAGCTCAAAGTGAATTGTTATGGAATATAATGAGCAAAATTAAGGAATAACAAACAAAATATTATTTTGTACGAGGTATCTCGTCTCCCATTTGAAATGGTTATTCTTTTGAATACTTTTCACTTATATGATATAATGAATAATTTATTGTTACAAGGTTCAAGAATACAATGAATCATTTGATTACAAATTGCCGAGGAGAGCAATTTATGTAAGAAATATGTGATGTCGATGAGAACAATGGCGGCAGCCCGGCACCAAGCATCTCCTTAAAACTGATTATTGCTGCATGTTAACATAGCTTTCTTTTTCATTAGTTCATTAGTTGAATGTGAGAGATCTCTTCTTATGGAAAAGCTGGTGCCATACAGTAACTCTTAGGGTTTTCAAAATACAGTGTGATCTGAAGGATTTCTATGTCAATTTCTTTTTCTCTGAGAAATTATCTTTGACGCTCGGCCTTTTTTCTGGGATAAACTGGAAAGTTTTTCTAGTGATTTAAACGGTCTTGGTGGATGAAACAGAGTATAAATCAAATCTGCAATTGATATATTGTTTCGAATCCTTCTTTTTATTTACAGAAAATGAATAGAATTACTAAATACATGATGAGAGTAACGATGAAATAGGTAAACCAAGAAGTATATTTAATCATATACGGTTGGTTTACGAAATCATGTAATGTTAAGTAATATTCACATCTCCGACGGATTACAATATAGCAAGACCTTTATGAATTCAATATGAATTGCTAATTTCACTCAGGAACCGCTCTTAGAGCGCCTTGAGGATTTTCCTATAATGCTTGTATTTTTTTCTTGAAAAAAAAACTGGGGACAAGATAAGCTTTCGGAATCGATTTCGATTTTTGAAACGTTGTCGGTGGATAATGATTCAGGATCTTAAAAGGGAATAAACATTTAGATCAAATAACTATTTCAAAATTATACAGCCAAAAAACCACATATGATTGAAAAAATTAATGAAAATTATACCATTGTATTATTTTCTTGTTTCATTTTAGGTGTGATTGAAACAACAAAAAACACAGCCAGAGTATATTCATCCCCATGGAATCCCACAGAGACAACATCTGAAACGTGGTATCCTGCTGCAGGAAATCAACTGAATAATGAAGTTGATGAACCCAACCAGCTAGGTTTGAGAAAATTTAGAAATTCAGCAGAGGTTTTGGAAGGGTTAACAGTTATTTCAGTAATTCTATTATCTAATTTGATTAGAATATTTTAGTACAAAAATAGCATCAAAATTAATAAGAAAAGGTGATTGCCGCGCAGTTTATAAGTTGTATGTTTCTATTATGAAATGTTCTTAATCATTATGTAAACATCCTAAAATATCTTCAATCTCTACTACCTCCACCGATTGAATAACAATCACAATAAAAAATTTAGCATATATCAGAAATTTACTCTTTCATTTAACTAACTATATGATTATAACAATCAGATTTGAACTTGGAATAATCATAATAATGGAATAATCATTATATATGATATGTTGTGTGCGGCGATTGGAGGATTTGATTAATCTGGAAATTATTTCTGTTTCTTATCCATTACAAAAACATTTCAGCACTAGTCAGTTGAATGAATTACATTCATAGTCATAGTTCAAATAAGTGTATTTATTAGAAATAATATGTAAAAATGCTTTTATTAAATGATATTTCAGAAATGCTTTTATTTTTAGTTCATAATGCATCGTTATTGTTTTCGGGAAAGAAAGTGTTTGCCCGTCTACTTCTTCATTTTGATAAAAAAAAAATGTAGGATTCTTCCAAAGAGAGGAAGAAACCAATCAATTTCAAAAATTAAATCTATACCTGCAAAGAAGTAACTTTCAGTTAATTTCTGAAATTGATTGAAGTAGAAGACTTTCTTTCCCAAAAATCATTTTCTCCTAAAAATATACCCTTTCAATTTAATCATTTTTATGATTATTAATTAGAATTGGAACAATCTGTATATTCCAAAATATTTGAAATAAGTTATAAAGTAAACCATTTAACTTTTATCTGACACATTTTATCATACTTCTCATTATAGGCGAGATATTTATAGTACTTCCCCACACTAATGGGTCACCCTGTATATCATTGACGTTCTGAAAGAAATTGAAACATTTGAGCGTTTGATAGTGTAAACGATACTTCATTGTACATAGTCTCGAAGTGAATATATTATGGAGGGAAAAAAATGATGATGGAATATGACACGAAAGTTGATTGAAGCAACGGATGCCGTTGGGAAGAAATTCAATTATATCAAGATTATTCGCCTAGGTGATCGATCAGCAGTCGAGAGAATCTAGGAACCAATAATAATACTTTTGAATATAATATCGGCCAATACTGGAGGAGTATCTCAAATAAATCAGGTGGTGCAGAAAACAAAGAGTGCTACACCATTCACCGCGAAAACTAGAATTAAAAGGGAGTTGAAACCTAAATTAGAAAATCTTGATAACGATCAAGGAGGAAATAATGTCGAAGGGGATTTTTCGAATGAGCTTTAAGTATCCCCATTGTCAACTTCAGATTGAGAATCATCTAAAGCAGTTGATAATGGCGACAAGGTGCAAAAGCACATAAAAAAGTTACTACTATCAGAAAATATAACTCATACGACACAGTCTTTGAAGTACACTAGAACTCTAAAACAGGAAATTTAAAAATAGGTGTGGCTGATGTGGAGTTCATCAATTAGAAACTTGTGTTCAAGAAAAATCAAAGCACTCCAAAACTATAGGTGTAAATCAATATTTATGAAAGTTCCAACAGGAAATATTCCCGCTTCGGATATGACTGCTTATGGTGATATACTCAGAATAACAAAGGCGGCTAATAAATAAAATGAGAGAAAACACGGTCTACTGTCGAATAATTGGATAAAATATTGGGAAGTCATCCAACCACTATTATCCAATGTAAATCTACTGCAAAATCTCACTGGAGAAGGTGTCGGCGTGATCAAAATACTCACTCAACAAAATATATCAGAAATGAGAAATGAGCATATGGATTATGTTTATTGGCATAAACTGAAAGAATTGGTTGATCGCCTTCTATTACTTTGGAGTTTAGGATCGGCTGGACATACCGGGAAATATTTGCCAAGGTTCAGCAAAGGAATCTATGGCCTTGTCATAATTTAATTCGTGTGCAATTCGATTGGCTATCGCTAAGATTGCAAGACTCGATAAGCGTTACTGGCTCATAGAAGATGACAAATAAACTTCTGGACGCATTGGATAGGCCACCCAAAAGGCGACTATTACCTACCCCACAATTTCTGGTGTCAGCAATGAAATGACGAAAAACGATTACTCCACAAGTTCTACTGTCAGCAATGAAATGATGGGAACCAATGAAAATTCATCAGTAATATCACGAAAGTTTTCATTGTCAGGGTAGGGTACTCTAGCGAGTTAAGCGTCAACTTCTACCCAGCCATCGAATTGGATACCGGTAGTAAGTATGGACTAGGATAACATGGTTTCTACTTCTACAACTTCATATTTAATGTAGATGCGAAGAATAACATTATCGGCTATTCGAATACAATTAACTCACCACCCACAATTATAAAAAAATCATCTAGGGCATATGAGATTGATGAAATCAATTTGAATAAATTCAAAAATGTATCAAATCTAAAGAACTGCAACAAGAAAATGGAGTTGAAGAGAATATCGAGTATTTCTCCTACATGCAAATAAAATTCTGATATACGAAATGCACTTGAAATGCAACATTAATATTAAACATCATTGCTGAGTAGATGAGCTATAGGGATTCTGGGACGGAAGTGGCTTATCAGTGTTTGTTCATGTATGTTATGGCTCAATTAGCGGTGGCTTTATCGCTGTTTGAGAGATAACGATTCGAGTGTGCTTATGAGAACAATAATATTGGGTATAAAGGGTGTCTTTTCAAAACACATCAATCAAATGTTGTACAAGGTGTGTAGCTTCAAAGAATAAAGCATGGCTGCCGTCGCGGTATACATGTTGTGTGCAGCGTTATAAAAAAAACATGGCGGCCAACGTTAAAGAAAAAACATGGCTGCCAGCGTAAAATAAAAGAAACATGGCTACTATGGAGCTATACATGGTGTGTTTGCAGCGTTGAAGAAAAGTTTCCATCGCGGTATACATGTGTGCAGCGTTGAAGAAAAAACATGGCTGCCAACGTTACAGAAAAAAACATAACTGCAATGGAGGTATACAAGGTGTGTTTGCGTTGAAGAATAGTTGCCATGGAGGTACACAGGATGTGTAGCGTTAAAAAACATAGCTGCCAACGTTAAACAAAAGAACATGGCTGCAATTGTAGTATACATGGCTGCTAATGTAACGTAACGATAATGGTGACCAATATATGAATTAACAAAGTTTCGGATCTATACGATTCATCGAAAAATAAACACTTCCGGTTCATAAAAATTGAGATAGAAGAAAGCTAATGGTGAAATCGAATTGCCCATATGGAGGAGAGTCCGAATCTGCAATAAAATGACAATTTCTGGTCGTCCGATTTCGATAATTTTGACATCAAAATTTATTAACAAAGAAAAACAGAGAAGTGCCAGAAGGGTACTAAGTTGTATCTTCGCTAATAATAGTCATATCGTCACGTGCAGCACATGAAAGGAGGAGGGTTGTGGAATTCATAAAGAGAACGTCAAATGTCAAAAGGGTACTAGTTCATGCATAGTTTTTCGATAGGTTACTGATCAATTTTCCTTTTAAAATACAGACTATCATCCTATTGAATTTTCAGAATATATAGATCTATTAAATTCATTATCTTCGTTAATACTAGTCAGTTAACGGTATTTGTGAAAATATTATAGATAACTATCATGTGTGAATTAGGTATATGATAACGGTATGTACGTTTCAGAGCACTTCGTGTCATGAAGTTGTGTTTTATAATACAGAGTGTCTTAGATTGGGAAAATGTTTGTTGATAATATATACAGAGGGGCTAATTCGTTTGTTTGTTCGACCGTTCGTTCGTTTGCCTCTTCGTTAGTTCGTGAGGAACGTATACAATGCGTATTAAAATATTTCGTCAGAAATGCAACATTTCTTATTTCTGTCACATCTTCACAGGTAGTGAAATACGGGAATAATTTGACTATCCACAACATCATTTTGAAACAATAGTGATTTCTAAAGTCATTGTTCATTTTTATAAAAGGTATATAATGATGTGAGCCGATTCAATTTAACACTTCATCTCAAAACTCCAACCTAAATGTCAACAAATGAGTTGAGCCAAATGTAAAATTGAAAAAAGGTTGACCAGAATGTAAAATTATGACATTGGAAAATATTGCAAAAAATAACATTATATAGGAACTGAATTATAAAAATGAATGAATTTCACGAAAAATTATACAAAGTTACTACTGTTAGTCGAACATTCTTGGCGATAATACCTGATAACGGTCATCTCTAAATTAGTAGAGATGATTCGTTATTTCGTATAATGACACGATGAGTTTGTCGATTTGAATTTTGTTAATAATAGGAAGGATAGAAGGCATATTAATTCTAGGGTTATGACGTGTTGCTTTTTTTTAAGTGGAAAGATTCTCTCTTTCAGGTGGTTTACTTATCTCAACCACATAAAGATTTATGGAGTGAATAATTTTCATTAGACCGCACAATTTTCAGTTTGTTTTAATGGTCTAACAGCAAAAAGATTGCTTTCCAAACTAATGGAAACACTTCATTACTTCGTCAAATGACTCTTTTTTATTGGGATTAGAATAGGTTGATTTATTCGAAATATGGCACACAGGTTTGTACTTTTTGGTGAGATCAACAGTAATGACCTGGTGTTCTTTGGAACGTTTCATTTATTTACTTGAAATTTCGATTGGAGGTGCAGGGTTGAAAATAGTTTATTTTATTGAGCATCGTAGTTGAGACATATGCCCTTCACCTTGCAAACAACTTTAAAACCTTGTTCTTTAGTACTCCAGAGCCTGAAACTGTAATTTTTGGGGCCTTCGGATACAAATTCGCTTATATGTGGGTCAGTGCCGTAACCTGCTAATTAATCGATCGGTCATTAGACTCGTAGATCACAGAATCTGTAGGTTTGTTCTGGTTCTACGAAATTCAGATTCTAGGACGTCAGGATCATGTGCAGTTGATACAGAGCGTTCTGGTTTATTGAGAATAATTTCGGACTGATGAATCCTCTGTTCTGGTTTCGACTGCGAAATGATCCTAAACTGTTTTGAACCGTCCCGAATCGGTCTTGCTCTCGAGACTGAACTGTTCAGAACTGTACCCGTTGCTCATGCGCATTAATGTGGAAATTTGTTTGGGCTTATTTGCTAGGATGTTTTTTTATTTATTTGATTTGAATAATTGATGATTGAGGGTAGATAACATCTGAACTGACTATAAGGATACGCTTCATAACAAAATGGACATGATCAATAGTATTTTATCGTCTTCATCTCTTCATATATACGATAGGTGCTCTCCTCAAAAACGTTATGGTTTAAACAAGTGTCCGAGACTATTTCGGACTGTTTGAGATTTTCTGTTTGTACGTATCATGTCTTGCGCAGTTTCCAAACAGTTTTGGATGTTACAACCAGAACAAACCTTATATCTTTACACAGGACTCTGTCATCAAGCCTCTCTAAAGAACTGTAAAGTTTAAAACAGGCCAGTGTTGTGATGTATGCAGTAATAACCACATTGACAGTTGAAAGACAATCAAAACTTTCAGTTCTGAATTCCCAGTTGGTAACACGGAATTGATGATACGAGAAGGAGCAGTCATCATTTTGAAGAATTCAGCCGGTTGTTTGACAATAGATGTTTTAGGCTGGTTCTCACGTTCACCAAACTTGCCCCAAAACAAATTTAACTTGAGCTTAGCCAACGATCTCAAACCAGGGTTATCAGTAATTTTGGAAAATTTCAAAAGAACACCCTCGCGCTGCAAAACTCCTCAATATATTGTTGTTTCTCCTCATCGGTTTTGCAATGTTGTAGCCAATTTGATGATTCTTGTTTGGGCTTGATGAATTTGTTTAACATAGAATGAAAGGACCGGCTGTGTTTTTATCAAACTGTATCATAAGACCAAATCTCCATGGTTTCGGGAATACTATATCCCAAATCAACGGCTTTAACAATCTCCTTAATCACCCTGGTCCCAGTTAATGCCCGTTCTTCATCAGAATGTTGGCACTTATGAGAGCTGCGTTTTCACCACATGTACGACAAAGAACAAACATCAGTTTATTGTTCATTTTTTGTGGAAGAACAGGATGAAAGAGACTTTGAGAAAAAAGTATCGTACACTTTATGAGCCCTGAGATGGAGGATATAGAAACATCGCAATATTCTGCACCAACCAGTAGTTTGGGGTGACCAATAGGAAATATGCCATATTTACACACCCAGGGGTACAAAGAACAAACATCTACGTATTTGATTTGTTCACCCTCTTTGACCTTGTAATGTTTGACAATATTTCTCTTACGGCCACCATAGAAAGCATCTCATGGGACAAGTAGCAGATTTTTCAAGAGAGGATGATTTTCGAAGAATTTTCGAATCTCCCCAGAAAGTTCCCGGCGAAAATCCCTTTCCCACTTTTCGATGACCTCATAACCCAAGGATTTGATCTTATGCAATGGTCATATCATAGCGATAAGCAATTGTTTCGGAAGGACAATTTTGAAGAGGAGTATCTCCCTGATGGTCGAAACACCTTGGACATCCGTGATAAAAACAACCCTGAAACTCGAAAACCTGATTGGTTTCAGAACACCAACCATCAACTTTGAAATTGCCAAACGAGTGCCTCAGAAGAACAACATGCTTATTGAATTTTTAAATATCGCTGTTTTTTCTCCCAAAGCAACCATTGGGTGGCTACCACAGATTGATTATTATGACGTCTATAACCATCCTTAGGAATAATGCCAATGGCTTCCGTGAATGAACATACATTCGTTTCAGTTATGAAATGAAATTTCAAACAAGCTTTGGTCAGGATATCAACATCCGAAATACAATAATAAATGCTTTCTTGAGAAATATCGAAAATTAGCGACTCTTTCGGAATGCAAGTGCATGAGGAAAGAACGGGCCATATGCTATAAGTTGTAAGGTGGTGCGCGTGAAAATCTTGGAAAAGTGAAAGCAATAATGCAAGTGGTTTGGGGAGATTTACCCAAAGGTTCTTTCATGCTTTTTCTAGATTCAGATAGTAATTACGATTGGGATCGAACGCCGTACAAAAAAATGGACAAGTAAAAAGAAGAAAAAATGTCATTTTCCGAAAAATTACCTCTATATGATGAAATATTTTTGTGAAATGAGTTTCCTTTATCAAAAACGTTTATTTATTTGCCAATGACGAACAAATTAGTTGTGTGTAAACGTATGGGAATAAATGACCTTGAATTTTTAGGGTAGGAGTTTGATCCTACGTTTATCGTCACACCTTTGTATATAAGGTTAGTCTATATACAAAGGTCACACTATTCCATAAATATATACTATATGTCAAAATTAACAATCCTTATTGATATAAAAAACATATTTCATAGTAGCCGTACAGATTTTTCAACACTTTTTTACCTTTGCCGAAAATGAAAATTTTGTCTATTTTCCTGTGGATTTTTTTTGTATGGCGTTCACTAAGGAAACATTCTAATCGTATTTAGAATCCAAATATGAAAATAGAACAAGAACTCTTGGCAAAATACTTTCTCATTTTGGTTATTGATTCTTCAAATATTTTAACGTGACCACTTACCATCGATGGTATAAGTTGATCTTCAGTACTATGGAAATAATACATTTTTAAGAACCATTAAATCATCCCTTGAAAATTCAGCATGGCCTTGCGATCTCATAAATAGATATTAGGTATCGTTAGTATAATCTACTATGGTTTAATCGAACGCGAGTTTCGGTCGAATGTTTATCTGAAGTGCTACCACAGAACTAGATATAGTTCTGTGAGTGCTACTATTTACTATAAATAGCACTGAACGCAAATCCAGTTTCACTTTTCAGTTCTGTGTCAAATTATTTACGAACTTAGTTCTTTGACAAAAAAATATGACATCGCAAAAATTATTATAGGTTATTCATTGTTAGTTTGTTAAACAGTGGCTAAAGCTAAAACTATTATTTGAAATGTCGTCTACTCTAGAAGATAAAGCTATCTGGGAAGATGGGGAAGAATCATTGGGGGAGGAAGTTCTGAGGATGTCGACTGATGAAATAGTCAGCCGGACGCGTTTACTCGATAATGAAATCAAAATAATGAAGAGCGAAGTAATGAGAATAAACCATGAACTCCAAGCCCAAAACGAAAAAATCAAAGAAAACACTGAAAAGATAAAGGTAAATAAAACGCTACCTTACTTGGTATCTAATGTTATAGAACTGCTAGATGTGGACCCTCAAGAGGAAGAAGAAGACGGGGCAGTTGTAGACTTGGATTCTCAAAGAAAGGGAAAATGTGCCGTTGTAAAAACATCTACTCGTCAAACATATTTTCTACCAGTAATCGGGCTCGTTGATGAAGAAAAGCTCAAACCTGGAGATTTAGTGGGTGTGAACAAAGATTCTTATCTTATCCTAGAAACATTACCAGCGGAGTATGATGCAAGAGTAAAAGCTATGGAAGTTGATGAAAGACCAACTGAACAATACTCAGACATTGGTGGGCTGGACAAACAAATCCAGGAACTTATTGAAGCAGTCGTATTGCCAATGACCCACAAGGATAAATTTGTTAATCTTGGGATTCATCCACCTAAAGGTTAGTATTATTTACTTTCTTCGTCTATTGCTTATTTTGTGTACAAGTGTAAGACCTCTCTAGGAATTTATAGTGTCAAGGAAGATTCATACATCACTCTTAAGTCGTAAGTCGCAGGTAGTGAATAATAAGTTGTTAGAGATGAATCATTGTTTTTTCATGTCAGCATTCATACAGGAATTCTATGTTTTCAGTACTAACAAATATAAAACATTCTAGGTTCCATTCATGAACTTATTCCTAGAGTACTAGAGTATTATGACATATGTATGATGATCAAGTTTATGACTTAAAAGCCCTAATGACTTGAAACCACCTCTATGTATCTAATATCACTCTACTATGGAATTTTTATGAAAAAGTTTACAAAACTTCAGCATATGTTTCAGTATACGTTTTCAATATGAACATAATAAAACACATGTTACGGTTTTGTAAAAATATCTCACTATTTATGTTATTGAATGAGTTAAATATTATTGAGTGTGTTTATGATGGATTTTCTTAAGTATCAATTTTATCACAAATCTACCTTGAGTTAATATTGGTACCATATTATAGAATAAAAACAATTATGATAATCTATCTGGGCAATTCATTCCGTCACAAAATATTTAGTTCATATTCACACCAAAAAATCAAGAAAACATATTCTTATAAGGTACTAGTACTATATTGCTGTATCGCTGCTGTTCCAATGTTTTGACAGGATCAGAATCAACAAAGCACTGTTGTATAACAGCGTTATACAACAGTGCTTTCAAAAAATTGTTCTACAGCGCCATCTAGTGGCGAGTTACAGAAAAATTGATAGCCTCCTATGCATGTCAAGTTTCATCACTATCGGTTGAGCGATGTAGAAGTTTATCACTTACCAACCAACAAACATCCATTTTTATATATTAGATAAATAAAAAATGTAATGATTTGTTTCCCCTATTATTTAAAAGTCTATATTGTGCGTAGAAGTGTCAAGAGTTTTAGTTGAAATTAAAATACATTTGATTGACTTTTGAACAATTTTGTGACTCATTTTTTTTAACATAACTTCATCTTCCTTTTTGAAGATGATCACTTGGTGATCGAAACACGTGTCGAGGTGTTAAAAATAACGATTTGGTGTTGGGAAAAAACTCCAGTAATATTCATTACTACACCAAAGGTTCCAAACAGTGCATCATAAGTAACTTCATCTGAAGAAGATATTTCAGTGTTTATGAGATAAATCTGTGACAATAATATTCAAATTATGTGAGAAACTTAAGGTATAGGATAAAGAAAATAACTTTTGTCTAATTTCTACCAAGTTTTTTCTTTGTTACAAACGGTTTCAGTTTATTAAACCATTCTCAAGTAAATTCTCGAGTTTAATTAACCGAAACCAGTTGTAATAAATAAAAATCTTGGTTCAAATTAGATAAAAGTTATTTTCTTCGTACTCTTTTAATATGAATATCTACAAAATAGATAGGTCATCAATCAAACAAGGAACTTGAGGGAAGGTCAAACCTAATTCCCATTTTGTATTGGCGTAAAATGTTTAATACTCCTATTGATGAAAAATTGAAATAGTATTTCATGTTTATCATTGAACTTTCAAAATTGTTATTCATTTATCAACAGAGTTTGTAAATTTCAGGAGTCTTGTTATATGGACCCCCAGGAACTGGAAAAACTTTGTTGGCTAGAGCATGTGCTGCTCAGACAAAATCAACATTTTTGAAACTAGCTGGACCCCAATTAGTTCAGATGTTCATAGGAGATGGTGCTAAACTTGTAAGAGATGCTTTTGCGTTAGCCAAGGAAAAGGCACCAGCTATAATTTTCATCGATGAATTGGATGCTATTGGTACGAAACGTTTTGATTCTGAGAAGGCTGGTGATCGTGAAGTACAACGTACAATGTTGGAGCTTTTGAATCAGTTGGATGGTTTTAGTTCAACAGCTGATATAAAAGTAATTGCAGCTACCAATCGAGTTGATATCTTAGATCCTGCTTTACTTCGATCAGGTCGGTTAGATCGTAAAATAGAATTTCCTCATCCAAATGAAGAAGCTAGAGCAAGAATAATGCAAATTCACTCAAGAAAAATGACTGTTAACCCAGATGTAAACTTTGAAGAATTGGCTAGATCCACTGATGACTTCAACGGTGCTCAGTGTAAAGCAGTTTGTGTTGAAGCAGGTATGATAGCTTTGAGAAGAAATGCCACTGCTGTTACCCATGAAGATTATATGGATGCTATTATGGAAGTTCAAGCCAAGAAAAAAGCGAATCTTAATTATTATGCTTAATTTCCAGCATACAGAAAATAAATTATGTGTTTGATAAAATTGATATCTTCATTTTCAAATACCAACATATATTTTATTGCAATGAATTCAATTTTTAATGACACCATAACACTGCATTTGCAAAAGATAATGGATCTATATTTTTTTTGTTACTTCAATCAATGTATGTTAGGTTAGGTTAAGTCCAAAGCGAGTGGGTCTATTCGACCCCCATCCGCAACCCGCAAGGGTTTATTGTGGCTCACACGACCAAATAAAACCAGCTTCTTGACGAAGCTGATTAGTTTGTATGGTAAGTGGTCTTTCCGGTCAGATGGTAAGAGTACGGTTCTGCCAAACTCAAAAAACCTAATACGGGACACATACAAAGTATGTGCTCTGCTGTTTCATCATTTTCCAAATAAAGGCGACACACACTGCCTTCCGACAGTCCGAGTCTCTGCATATGATGATGACAGTGACCTGTAAGAAGGCCTGTTAGACATCGTAGTTCATCCCTACTGTAGTCCAACAACTATTTGGTATCAAGCTTCGAAGGGTGAATAGACGCCTTGGAGTGAAGTCTATAAATCTTCTTGCCATCCAGGTGCTCAACGTTTGTTTGGCGAAGCTTAAAGCGATGCCAATGACAGGTTCTGGTCCGATGAAGCTGCTTGCAGCGCCCTCCTTTGCAAGGGAGTCGGCAGCCTCATTGCCTTCTAGGCCAGGAATCCACACTAAAGACAATCTGTTAAATCTTCCTATCGAGGAGATAGGAGGCAATTTGCTCCTTCAATATCGAGAAATACAGCAATCGCGATCTCCTTGTTGTCAAGGGATTGAGAAACTTTCTCTACAAGGTTGTTTAATGCTAAATCTGTCGGTTTGATAAGTATACTGGTGATTATTCAGGGGGAATGCATATAATGCAACCCTCCTAACTAATGTGTCCGTCCAGTATCCTCTCAAGTCCTTTCAACAGAAAGGACTTGAGAGGATACTGGACGTGGTACCGATTTAGGGTGTGGGTCTCTCCGGCCCACTACAGGTATATATACCACCCTTGCTGCCAAACAACTGGGTGGTATATAGTTCCACGCCAAATAAGCTCTATACAATGTTGTGAGAATAGGTAAAATTATTTCCAGGCCGTTTTGAAGAAGAGCTGGAAATATACCATCCTCTCCGGGAGATTTGAAAGGCTGAAAAGACTTGATAGCCCATTCAACTGCCGGTGCTGTGATAACCTTGACGACCCCCCAATCGTTCTTTTTTGGGCGTTTAGCGCCGTCGAAGATAGGAGGTCTGTTATAAAAGTCTGATTTCCAGGAAAGTGGTTATCTATCCAAAGATCTAACGTTTCTTTACTAGAGGTCGTGAATGTTCGGGTCGTTTAAGCGACCCAATTTCAGCAGTCGGCTCTCTAGAGAGAATTTTGTGAATTCTTGTGCTGCGAGGTAAATCAGGGATACTCTCACAGAACCTCCACCACGACTCTCATTTTGCCATTCTAATTTTCTTGTTGTATGTCGTTAGAGTAGTTTTATAAAGCTCCCAGTTACCTGACTCTGTAGCTCGATTGAATAATCGTCGAACTTCTTTTCTTTTCCTTTTTTTTACAGGCTTTTGTTTCACCAAGAAGAGTTATGGTTATCTCTTTTAATCCTCAGTGGACAGTTCTCATGATAGGATGAGATCACTGCTTCGCGAAATTGCTCCGCTACTCTATACATATCATTACAACTGTGAATAGTAATGAATCCGTCTTCGAAGTACGATTGGAGGGTGTTTTTATACCTACTCCAATCAGTACATTTTGAGTCACGATATTACACTACTGGTCTTAGACCTGTTTCAATATTGAAAATAATATATCTATGGTCTGAACAGGAAGATTCAGTAGATGCAGTCCAATGTTGTATCTTGTTGCTCAGAGAATGTGAGCTGATGGTTAAGTCTAATACTTCTTGCCTATTACTAGTNTCGTCAGTTTTGAAGTTGGAAACCTGAAGTTTTGGGTTGATAAAAAAATATTGTAACTATTTGTTTAAACTGGTCTGTCATGAAACTTATTTTTACTTTAAAAATACAGTAACTAAAAAAATATGCCAACTGCACTAAGTAATGGATAGCTTCGAAAATTAACTGGTTAAATTCATGGAATCCTTTGAAAAACAAAGATTTCATTGTACTTTCACGATTTGTTCTAGGGATGTATAAATTATTCCGATATCTGGTGAAGTGGGATGTACATCTTTATGTAGAATCAAGTAGTTTTGGAAATAAGTTGGTGTCAACGTTGGTTTAGCAACTCATGGAGTTGATTTATTTTATCAAGGTCAATAGAAAATAATAGTGATGAGCGGTAACCAAAGTGATCATCATTATTAACTATTGAGCTGAACAGTATTTTTATAGCATTTCCTTTCAAACCAATGTTTGAAATGATTCATTAAATTTACATAAGTTTTTTATTCAAGAACGCATTGAAATTAATCAAACACTAAATGTTTAAGTTTACCACAATACATTTTTGAGACTGGCGCGCACAAACAAAAATTCCAAAAATCATTGTTTTGAGTTCTAATAGTTTTTCTCAAATGTCTTTCATGTACAGACAGCGATGAGTTACACTTATATTCATCAGAAATAAAAGTTTTAAAACTGTACATTGATTAAAATTTGTTGAGGCCTTAAGTCATTGAAGTAGTTATTCAGAAAAAGTACAGTACCAGGTTTAAAAAGTGTCAATATGTTGTGTCAGAGTAAAGAGAAGTATATTACACATTCAACATTACCAGACAAATTTCAGTCTCAAGTTTATAAGTCTGTCACAACAATAAGTTGGTAACGAGGATAAAAAGCAGCAAAAATTATATTCTCAACACCTTATTATTTTATCGCAAATTCAGATCTGTCACAAACTCCAGATAGACACTTCATCAAGCTGCTTTTGATAAAAATTCAATTATTTTTTAAATGTCACGTCGAATTTATTACTCAGGTAAAAGTAACAAAGATCGTTGTATTTGTCAAGCAGAGTATCAAATCGATGCATCATAACACATACGGTTTCATTTTCTGCAACTTTACTATCTGATGTGATGATGCAATGTGAGTACCCCTACTGTCAATATTGCATTGCATAGTGCAGGTACTAATGAATGAACCTCATTCACTGTTTTTGTGGCATTCCTCTATTCTTATTAAATTAAAAATGAATGTACTGACTGCCAAAACCATATAACAGAAAACATGTAATTTGTGTAGTATACTTAATGCATGAAAAATGTATTGACCTTCAATACAATTTTCCACATTAAGAAACTAATGACAATTAATATCACATCTGTTCTGAAAATTCTCATCTTGCGAAAACTGCATCAAAATTTACTTAAGAATAGGTGACACGAAATGTTTCTTCACACTTTACCTGAACTGCACCTTTACAGGAAGGGGGCGCAGCCAGATCTCTCACCACCTGAAAAATATGTAGGGCCGCCACTGCATGTTTCTCTATGAATCTAACCACTTGTGATTTTTTCAAAAACAATTGAAAAACCTTGTAAATACATCATGTCTATTGTCATCACCGCATTATTTAAAATTTATTAGAGGTAGGACACAGGACTTATGGCTGTGTATTAGGGCTTGTAAGTGAAGTTGACGGGGTCCTATTCTAGCATCAGCTCTTTTTAATAAATATAAATATGTACATGTTTCAGAATTTCCTTGAAACTTTAATCGTCGAAAAATGACCAAATGGATTTAGGATGTTGAAATATTGTAAACCGATAATTTTGTTTATAAATATATTGATATTAATATCGACAATAATATATTGACTTTCAAAAGTACTTTTTAGGCATTAATTTTATTTAATTCTGGTTGACTGATTACAGAATTAGACCAACAAAACATGTTTATTTTTTATTGACAGAAAGTGACACATAACAATTCCAAATAAATACTTCATAATTCAATTCGGCGAGATCCACTATGGAATAAAATGTATAAATTAAAAATATCTTGAATAATCAATAAATAAACAGCTGTGTGATGGAATCCACAATGCATTCAAATATCACTTTATTGTGAGATTTCCACTAGACAGTTTACAAAACCGCAAACAATCGCAACACGTGTTTCGCTATACAATAGCTTTTCAAACACTATAAAACGCTTGAGAAAGCCATTGTATAGTGAAACACATGTTGCGGTTTTGTAAACTGTCTAGTGAAAATTTCACAAAGTGTTATTTGAATATGAAGCTTGTAAGTGAAATATATACATTCCATTAAGTGTGAAAGGCCCGGTTTTGCCGGGTATGCCTACAGACACGTACGCTTTATCAAAATGTGTAATGACAGATATGTTCAAAGGATTTCTGCTCATTTCATTATATTCAGAAAAGGGCATGGAAGGTTTGGACAGAGATTTTTTGAGAAAATAAAATACTTTTCCAAATATTATTGTGTGAAATGTTTTGTTTGAAGCAGTTTTATTGAACTTCTGCACAGGATAATGCTTACTAAAAATTCAAATATGTCTTCGTCCGAACCTTACAATGCCTATGTAGCTTACAATAAGACACTCAGTTTTCAAAAAAAAAAAATTATAAGATCATATTTTGCAAAATTTAATTTATACAAACGCCACTAGTTAGGCAAATTATTCACATCAGATCATCGCTAGTTGACNGTATTTGATAATACCATTTGTGACTCGTATTGACAGCTCCAGTTTTCTTTCTCCAAAACGTTATTTTTCCATTTTCGATTCCTTCTTGGGAAGTAATCGATTTCGCCGAATCACACACGATTACAACATATTTTACGTACCACCACTGTCGAGTTGCTTCTGTGCCAATATTGTCTTTATGAGCATATGTTGGCTACCTGCAAGCTCCATCTTTTCCCTTCCTCCCGCCTGACCCTTGCACCTCTCAGAAACTGTTCATAAAGGACCAGACAGTGTTAAACAGAATGAATACAGTAGTTATGTGGCAATATTATCAATAATATAATCAGTCAAATTCTCAGCAATGATTTAAAATATCTTTAGAAGAGCCATTTTTAATAAGGACATCAAACTGTTTGGCAAATAACAATTCTAATTGATGATTTTAAATAAAATTATCTATTGAAATATATAGTTGTAACAAAAACAAAAAATGATATTTACAAATGTTTCACCACCAATGATGCCTACTAAACAACCTGTGGCCGCCTGAAGTAAACGATTCCTGCTAAAACTGCTGTCAGTGTTGTGATCAAATATAAATCCCAGTTGGATCCGAGGGATTGGTTAATGTAGACTAGATGATGAAGTGGGCTCTGTAACAAAAACTATTAAAACAATTGGCAAAATTTGTTTGATGTTTTTTCAATCAGATTTTTTTTTTGTTTAAATACAACAGTTGTCTCAACTCATCCAAATTAATTGAATATTATCCAGCATAACAAATTTATTTATTATAAGGTAAATTATAATACTCGTAGCAGTATCTCATCACAGAAGAAAGTTATGAGTAGCAACAACTCAATTTCTCACCCCATTCTGCTTACCAGTTACCTTTCATAACATTTTTAGTAAAGGGATGTACATAATCTCTGATTCGAATCAATTTTGAGAGATTGAAATAATTTTACAAAATATCACATATTTTTTTCATCCTTACCTCTTGAAGGGTTCCCAGGCTGAACATGATATTCAGTTTGAGTAAAGCTAATGATACAGGTACCTTGGCATCACTACTGGTTTCAGCAGCTCTGTCATAGCACCTTTTTGCTAGATGCATATCTCTCTCCATTCCCAAACCTTGTTCGTGCATATATCCTAAGTTAAACAAGGCCTGAGCATTATGCTGCTGATCGGAAGCTGTTCTGTAATGTGTTGCTGCCGTTTCATAATCTACAGGTGTCCCTAACCCATAATAGTAGTAGTCCCCCAGTTTCACCTATTAGAATGAATACATCTATCTTCAGAAAAAAATCACACTTGTAATACTTGTCAGACTGGTCAAATAAAATACATCAACCATTTTAATTATTTTATGTTAAGTTTTCAGGAAACTGTTCAAATCAATGAACACATATTCAATATAGCCCTAATAGATTTACCCCTTTTTTTATACAGCTAATACTTGGAAAACCATGTATTTTGAATTCCGCACCACTTATTTCGTGACCGACCTGACGTCACAGTTTACAAACTTTAATAAACTGATAAGGTAAAACAAAGGTTTTCATTTTTTTTTTCAATAAAGGACGAGGACTTAAGTTTCGCGCGGCACCTCAGTATAGAAGTAATATAATTGAAACACCTGAAAAATAATTTATTCACCTTCCACCTAAGAGAAACAAAAAGTGGCTTTAGCTAGTTGGGATCGATTTGACAATGTGCCTACCTAATCTTAGGTATCAGCAAAGATTATGTTTATTATTCCCAGTAACTTTACATGTTTATCTACTTTTTGATTTTTGTTAATTTTTTTATATCAATCGTCATAGTTTTCAAAAATGTGTGGTTCAATTTTGAGGTTAGAGAGAAACAATGAGGGTAATAATGACTCATTTTATTTTAATAGTGTGAGTAGTGTTTCAGGTGATATAGTTTAGTATTCCTTTGCCTTAGACGGAGGTTTCTCTATTACTATTTATTGTGAAGAAGTGAATTACTGTAAAACAATCAATTTTAATGAAGAACACCTTCAAATAATACTTGTCATTGGATGTTTGTCATGTGACTTAATCACTTTTAAATTATTAAATAAATTCCTCAAAAATTAAAGAAAAAGGTTGTATTCTTTAGAACTTTTATCATATAAACTACAGATTTGTGTCAAAATCATATTTTCATTGGAATATAGGCAACTCACTATTAACTTGAGATTCACACCTTTGGTGTAGTAATGAATATTTAACTGTTAAATTTTTCTTAATCACTAGGTGATCGAAATATGTGTCAAGGTGTTAAAAATAACGGTTTGGTATTGGGAAAAAATCCAGTAATATTCATTACTACACCAAAGGTGTAGGTGAATCCTATGAAGCTTGATGTATAGCTTCATATACCTTATTAAGAGAAATTAATGGTTTTTTTTCAACAGACAATTTCAATATAAGGTCATTGTTAAATCTCTGTACTGTCTATTCTACTGATGAATTTGAATTAACCAATAATACAAAAGAATTGCACCAAAAAAGTTCATTTCACTTTGTTGAGAAAAAACTAACCTGTGCTGGTGAATATCCTTGACTGGCTGCCCTGCCCCAATACAACAGTGCTCTTACCATAGACTCATGAGTTGAAAACATAGGTACCTCACCTCTGTCTAACAAAAATGCTGCGTTACTTTGTGCAACTTCAAATCCCAGTTCTGACAAGAGGGCATATTGAACGAATGACTCATCGTAACGTCCATTTTGATAATCAGAATGAGCCTAAAAATAAATATATAATAAAAAATAAGGAATATATGATGTAAGAAATTTCTCAGTTGTGTATCTGTTATAAACGTGGCTATTTTTGATAAAATCATTTTGTAATTTTCCACCAGATTTTTGAATACGAAATTTCTTAAGCCTGTACCCTGTGTCCATCTACGATAATAACATAAAAGTTTGCATCTTTTTAAAACCATTCATAGACCAAACGTGATGCTTCTGATCAACTTCCTTTGTGATATAAGAATGCCTTTGCGTCTCATTGTAACTAGCAATCAGTACCCATTAATTGCCGTGGAAAAGCTGTTAGAAAGAGTTGTTTATGAACAATTGATCCAGTATGTAGATGATAATGATATTTTGTCAGAAAATCAGTCAGGCTTCACAGTTGTGAAACTGCTGTGCAAAACATCTTATTCAACTGGAAAATGTGGATAGACAAAAACAAATCAATTGGAGCCGTTCTTAGATTTGCGACACGCCCTCGAGACAGTCGATAGAAAGAGATTAGGTACTTTTAAAACTACGATACTATGGAATGAACGAAATGTAATGAAATGGTTCAGAGACTATTTGAGTGATAGAAAACAATTAACAAAGGTCAATAATATTACCTCCTCCGAAATTAATAATGATAATTGAGTGCCACAGGACTAACATTCAAAGAACATGTATTGAAAGTGATAATAAATATCACCAATAAGATAAATTTTCTGGTGAGAGTATCGGCTAGCCTATCTAGATAGTCAAAAATTATATTTGTAATACATTAGTTTTACCACATCTTACTTTCTGTTCTTCAATAATATTTACGGCTAATAAAAACGAGTTGGATCGACTTCAAAGACAACAAAATAGAGCCATGAGAATCATAATGGGTGTACCAAGAGACACGCCAATAGTCAACATGTCGAGAGAATTGAAATAGATGTGTACTATCAAACAATGATACTGATATATAAGATGCATCACCATCTATCGCCAAATTACTTGAGCAGAAAACTAACATACAATGAAAATTATCATAATTATAATACCAGAATCAACCAAAATATCCATGTGGGACCAAAAATAAGAGGTGTACTGAAAAATCCATTTATCATGCTGACTTTCAATAATTTAGATTGTGGTATCAAAGATTGTAATTCGATAAGTCAATTCAAGAGAATGTTGAAAATGCACATAATGGGCGAGTGATTTTGATTTGATTTTATTTAATTGTTATTTATTGAGTTCAATAACTTCATTACTATTCCAAGGTTTTTAAAGTATTGTATTTGTTGCTTTGTAACTGTATCAATACTTTTGTCTTACCTTTGTTGTCCACCTATGCGTAGATATTTCATATAAGTGGTTGAAGTTTATTATTTGTGATTGTAACCAGTCATATATATGTATATATTTGTAATTCATTGTTTGAATATTTAGACATTTGCCTAATGATAGTTAGGATCAAACATATTGTATATTAGCTTTTGCTAAATAAAGGAATTAATAATAACCCTTTTAGTAAACCTCCTGACATATTCAAAACCGAAGCACAATTAGGAAAATTACTGAACATGAAGTTGTTTCATTTAGTTATGACTAGATATGAATCAGAAAGTTCAAATTGTGATTTGAAAAACATTATTACTGCAGAACCTCACTAATCCGACACTATTAAAAACCAGAGGGTGCTGGATTATTGGAATGTTCCGATTACAGTATTATAGATAAAAAATCATAATAAATAAAATAGTGTTTCCGTTTACTTGAAATTTTCAACTGTACACTATTCTCACTTTTAAACAACAGGTAAATACGTACGCACTTGCACGTGATAAATTTTGAGATTAGACTGCTAGATGACGACGCGGCGACGGAACGAGGGAGGTGTAACGGAACGAGGGAGGCGCAACGGAACGAGGGAGGCGTAACGGAACGAGGGAGGCGTAACGGAACGAGGGAGGCGTAACGGAACGAGGGAGGCGTAACAGGGCGAGGGAGGCGTAACGAACCGAGCGAGGCGCGGGTGGAGTGTGCCGGTTTATTGAAGTGCCAGTTTAGTGAGATTCTACTGTGTATCTTTTTTTTATTCATTCGTTCAGGATAGTATATTGTACATAGAATATTTACAAAAGTTCGCTAGATAATGCTGTTGATCTTCGTTGTAAAATGTTTTCAAATATCCACAGTTCAATGTATCTGACCCGAACTTAGCTGTACCCAATACTTCATGTGTGTGTTTTGACATAGTAATTCAAGGATGGTATCACATGCTGAAGTGTCATTCCGACTGTACATCCGTTCATCTTTGACATTATCACGACGTTTCGGCAATATCCCACTTGCCATATTCATGTGCATTGCTTGGTAACTGAACTTGAAACTGACGTCATCCTTGTTGATGCTTGTCTATTTATACATTGCTGTTGGCTGTAGTTGAGGCATGAAAACTCCAGATCGGTCGACTGTGTGCTTGTTTGGAGGAAAGCATTTTGGTTGATTGGTGTGGTAATTGGATGGTGCGATGTGTCACCCTATAGGGCCATATACAAACACCACCTTGATACAGGTCATAATATCGACTTCAAAAGCTGCAAACAGATCGCCAGAACACAGCACCAAAATACCATCAAACACACAACCCAGAACAATATCAATGTGCCTCCAGTCGAGCGTGACACTACCGCCACACCCGCCAAACATGCACACAGTCGATCAATCATAATTTTTCGGGGCACAACTACAGCCTACAGCAACGTGAGCACATGAATATGGCAAGTGGGATCTTGCCAAAACGTCGTGATAATGTCAAACACGAATGGATGTACGCTCAGGATGACACTTCAGTGTGTGTGTGATATATATGTTTGTAGAAATATTTTTGAAATTAATGATTATAAACCTGCATTAAAATTTCTCCCCATCTTCCTCTTTCAGCAACAGTTTTGAAAAGGCCTACAGCAGTCGGACATGATCTCAACATTCCTGTACCTTGGGCATGCATTTGTCCTAAATTATAGTAGCCCAATACGTGTCCTGATTGAGAAGCCAAGCTGAAATATTTGTTTGCCATTTTGTAATCTTTTTTCACACCCAAACCACCTGAAATAAAGTTATGTATAGTGGATAATTTGAATTAGCCATTGAATCATTAGATACTTATTGAGTATGATAATTGAAAAGTATCACATATTTGTGAACAAAGTAACAAATAGTTGATAATACTGTTTTCTTAAAAATCAAAATGAACATTTGTAAATGAGAATAATATCGGTGTTGGTTGTATAAAAAAATAACAATCAAGTTTATTGAAATATTTTTATGAACTTACATTTCTAAAATGTGTGAAAAATCAATTTTTTACGACATTATTACTTACTAAAGTACATGTTTCCAAGTTGCAACTGTCCGTCCACCCAACCTTGGTCTGCAGCTTGCATAAAGTATTGATGAGCCTTCGAATAATCTTTCTCCACTCCTTTACCATAAAGATACATTAACCCCAAACCACTCAAGCCAACGGGATTATTCAAATCTGATGCTTTTTTAAAGTACTTGAAAGCAGTATCATTATTTGCTTGGATTTCATCACTTCCATCCAAATAAATCTAATAACATAACATACCATAAGAGAAATCTTCAGATATGTAGATTAACAACAAACCTTTCCAAGGTATGCCATCGCCATTGCGTTACCAGAATTAGCAGCTTGTGTAAAATAATCCAATGCCTTTTGATAATCTAAATCCACACCTCGACCACCTTGATAGTGAAGTTGTCCCAATCCTACCTGAAAGTATATTTGAATTAGTATACCAGGTGAGTCAATAATGTGTTTGACTTCAATAGTGGAAAAGTTAATGGATATGCACAATTTAAAAGGTGCACTGTCAAAGAAGCACTTGAGGTATTCGTCTCCAAACACAGATTAGAGGGGACGATTTCATCAAAAACTAATGGCTAGGTCGAAGCCTGAGAGGAAGTAATACTCTGCGAACCTCCCATTATCCTCATATTGCATTTGAAGTTTTTCGTAGCACGACGACAAAAAGTCCAACATGGAACACTATGTAACCTTCCACGTCGCATTGGCTACAACTGTTGTTGGAGGTACAACGATTTCTCGGTCAAGATTGTGCAGAAAGAATTCGTGCTAAAGCCCCAGGAAACGCGAGTTTCTCAATTGTTGATCTACGGGCACAGCGATACGATCTGACCTAAATAACGCCTCCCCCCCTTATCTCACCATCTGGGTTCGTACAAAATTTCTCGGTCAAGTTTTTTACAGTTTTTTGTAAATTAATTATTATCATGGATATTTTCACTATGTTTCTGATAAAATACTAACTATTCTCGATATTTTGGTAATGGAGTAGTTAACAAACTTAAAATAAAAAATTATTAATCAAAATGATTGTTAAAGTTATTAATATTGTAAATATTTTTCTTTCCATTTCTTTGGTTAAAGTTATTCAGGTTATTCTAATGACGCTGATTTTACGAAAAAAAAACACAATACTGAGGAGAATTCAACTAAACTAACAAATATAATGTAAACTGTAATGCACGATATGGTTGCTGATATTTATGAAGTTATAATTGGAATACAAAATTTGGTAATGAAAAAAAAATTGAATTAATTACACTAACAGTTATTGATTTCAAACCGCAACACCCTGCTATTTTAGAACCCATGAACCAATTTTGAAAAATGACAATTTCAAAATGTGGTACTCGACGAGCTCTATCCAAGTACGTTGGTAGATATGAATATTTCTCATTTTCAAGGTTCACTATGACCTGCAAAATGGGTCGAAATTTTGAGAAGGTCCATTGGGCATTTTTTTATTGGAAAAGTGGATACCCCATTCGATTTGGGCATATTTCGAACATCTAGATTCCAAATTTCAGCCCAATATCTCATACAGGGTGTTAATTATATGATGACGAATTTCCAAATCCATGATTTTTTTGACTGACCCTGTATAAAAATCTATTAACTTTAGAGAAAAGATGAAGTGACCATTCAATTAAATAATACTTCGCATACTCAGCTACAAAGTTATATAGGTTTTAATCGTTTCATGGAGTTGTCTCTAGTTTAATTAAAATCAACAAATCATAATTTAGAAAAATTACCAACAACAGAAATGAATTGAATTATAAATGGAACACTTTTTAAGAGTTTTCAATATATCCTCTTTGAAGCTCTATACATTTTTCATAACGTCTTCTCAAATTCTGGCGAGTCTTCCTCAATTGGCCTAGTGTTCTTTCACCACACTTTTGCCTTATCCTCTCCTTCAATTCGTTCAAATTTCGTGGTCTATTTCTATAAACACTTTCTTTCAAATATCTCCACAGAAAAAAATCTAATTGAGTTAGGTCTGGTGATCGAGGGGGACAACAAATAAAAGGGCTGTTCCTTCCTTGAAATTTTTCATCAAGATATTGCCGCACAGAAATCACATTGTGAATGGAGCACCGTCTAGCTAAAATATAACATTTCTGCGTTCTTCAATGCCTCGTTCTTCCATGAAATCCAAGAATTTCGATGTCAAAAAATTATAAAATCCTCCACCGTTTAGTGTGTTCTACAAAAACACTGGACCTATTACATGGTTTTTGAATATTCCTACCCAGACATTGATTTTTTGTGAATATTGTCTTTTTGCATTTATCATTCAGTGTTGATTCTCCCATGCACAGTACTTGGAATTCTGAGTGGACACTGTAAATGTAGCCTCATCGGTGAAAAGAATATTGCCAGAAAGTTATTATTATTCAAATATTCGCCTTGCTAAATAAACAGAATTCCAACCTTCGTTCCTCATCGCCTTTTTCTAACGTGTGCATGATTTTCGTTTTGAAGCAAATAACTTTTTTTTAATCAAACATGTACGTATTTTAGAAATACTAACGTGTAAATCTCGTGAAATCTGTCGCAAGCTATTTTTCAGGTTTTCTTAAACGTACTCTAAAATTTGTCAGTTTATCTTTATATTCTCCCTTCGTCTTGGTACATGCATTTCATTTACTCTCCCGGTTCCATTGAATAACGTATTGATCCTGGAGACGGTTGTATGGTGAATTGGTTCACGATCTGGATGTCTTGTGTTGAATTCGCCCGCGGCCTTCCGAAAAACCCTTTTATAACTCTCTTCACCAAATACTCATGGAAAATTTTTGAGGATACCTAACTGTCAAAATTTAACACCGAAAAAAGAAACAACTTAATTTCAAAGCCTACTATCAAAATCAGTGCCTGGCTTATTGATCCAATCATATGAATATGCCATATGAAATAAAGCATAAAAAGGGGTATTTTTACAATTGTTGATTGAGTATTTATCATACCAAAAAACGATATGAATACATTTTCAACTTTTGATTTTTGGTTGAACTAGGAGCATATATCTATACCTGTTAAGATGATAAAACTTCGTATTTAAATATTTCATGTGTTTCTCATTTCAATGGTTACTTCACCTTTCAGGGTCAGTCAAAAAATCATGAATTTGGTAATTTGTCATTATATAACGAACGTATGAGATATTGGGCTGAAACTTGGTATATAGGGGTTTGAAATATGCCCGAATCGAATGGGCTATCCACTTTTCCGATAAAAAAATGCCTAATGGACCTTCTCAAAATTTCGACCCAAAAAGGGTGACAAGGATCAAATAAAAAATTACAGACCTATAGCATTACTATCAAATATTAGTAAGATTTTTGAAAGAATCATATATAATCGCCTTATATCCTACCTTGAAACATTCGAACTATTAAGTGATACACAAAACGGTAAAAAATCCATATCTATCAACAACTTTGAATAGAGCTTGTCAAGTACCATATTTTTAAATTAAAATTTAATGCCCCACTCTAGTGATATTTTTTGTTATCTAACATAGTCAGCGCAATTCTCTTACATATACTATGAAGTGCTTTAGTGTTTATTTGGTATCATCACAAAATAGTGGCTTCTTTATGATATAAACTAACTTAAATTACATCATTTTCATTGATAAAATAATTCAGATGATAGCTGGTGGTTAGAAAATATTTTACCTGAGCTTGAACATCTCCTTTATCTGCTAGTAACTGATAGTACTCAATAAGATCATTATCAAGAATCCCTGAAGCATAACCATTCTCAAGTTCGTCTAAAAGGCGTATTCTATGTATTGCTGAACCACCTCCAAAAGAAACACCTTGACTTACTGTAAAAAATGTGTTGAAAATTTAATTTCAGGCTCTAATGAGTTCTATACTATACAGTTTTTATACTAATGACACCAGAAAAAGAATGTCAAGCTGCAATCACCTTTATCAGCAACCCTACGGTAGAAATCTAGAGCTCTTTCACAACTGATTGCAATTGATATTCCAGACCAATATCTATAAGCTAGAGCCATTTGAGACCAAGAGTTACCACCAATTGCTCCGAAAGTGTAATGAATCAGAGCTTTTGCTTGACTAACATTAAATGCCAATCCCGAACCATACAGGAATCCTATAATGAAACAAATTATAGTTAGTTTTGTGAGAATGTCATCATATGAAATAAAATAAGGATGAATTAGCATTTCCAAATTTTTCATTCTCACAAATAGAGTACAAATTTGAATTTTTTTATCATTTCCTTAAAATAATGATATTATTCAAACACTGTCGGTGGTAGTTTTGAGATATAATGTAAATTCGAGGTCATAATAATAAAACAATTAAGGCTTGATCTTATTTTTGTTCGACCTATATGGATAATGAAACAAATCCAAAGTTTGAAGATTTACATGTTTGCGATATAATAATAATACTTTTAATCTACTTCACAAAGTATAATGGTAGACAAGTATCCTTAAAGTGTACTGTAAGATAACAAATAAACAGATCCTTCCATCCCTAAGTTTTTTCATGATATTGAGGCTCTTGGGAGTGAAGCATGTAAAAAGTTTTAGTTGACATATGATTGTTAATGATGTTTCTTCAATCTATTGATGTTCATCTGAAATTAAATTATGAAAATACAACAAACACCTTACTACAAAAAATTAGCGGAATTTTCTAATAATCTGCCGAAGAGTCTGTTTTGAATACTAGAAACAGAAGCAATATAAAAGTTAAAAAATATAAAAAATAGTACACATAATTCTTTATTTTATAAAGGAGTAGATTGTTTTAATGACCTCCCACAAGAAATTAAAGATAGTGGTTCGATAAATATATTCAAAAGACGATTGAAGGATTTCTTAATGAAAATATAGTATATTCCTATGTATGACTTTCTTATGTAACTTTTTATTTATACATATGTATTTTTAATTAGAATGTTTGTATTTTTTCATGCTGATATTATTTTATTCATAATGTGAAAATGTATTTACTATCGTAAATGAATTAGTTTCTCAACTACATAAAGAGATATATATTCACATTATTTTTATTTATCTTTTTCATTGAGATAAACAAAACTCTTGACTAATGGGCCTATCATATTTTTCATGACTTGAGAAACACATGCCTAAATACTGGCATCTGAAGAGTTCATTCGCTGAAAAAAAAATAAGAGGTAGTAACCAGATGAGATAGATAGATACATGGATGGTATTTTTGTCTTTTAATGTTGTTTTTACAACATGAGATATACCAAATACGTACAAACAAATTAACAATAGTCAATTTCACATTGAAAAGTTGAAAGAGGTTATTGAAATGAATACATATTTAAAAGCGATATACATAAAACATACATACTTCATATATAATAAGAAAACTAGCCTCACCTTTGTATATAATTGTCTACGGTATAAAACTCTCCTCCAATATTTGTTCAATACTTAATACTTTAGAGATATTCTGATTAAATATTTTCAAGTAACAAGTTGAATAAGTATGCCCCAGCATATAAAGGTGATCTTTTGTGTTGTGATCTAAGTATGTGATGCAAGTGAAAGTCATTGTGCTGTTTAGTTTTCCATCATTAGGAAAAGTCAGTAATTTATATCAATGAATAGATGTGAACCTTTAAATATTGTTATTAGTAAATGTGTTTGTACATGATTCTCTATAATTCAAATCGAATATCTTTCTGATTAACTTTTTTGTATTATAAGAACTTGGATGTTTCTATGGATCCCTTCATATACAATGATGTTGCAACAACATAAATCAATGAAGTAAGGCATATGGAATTTGGCTCGAGTGTGTGGAAAGTATAATATAATTTGTTTAGTTTTTGGTAAGCAGCATTACGTAGAGTTTCAAAACAAAGTATCGTGCTGATAATGGTGTTTATTTTTATGCCTGCGGGAACTTGTAAACTCCATTTTCCAAGTATTATTGATTAAAAGAATTAATAGGGAATTCTGTGGCGGTGTCAGCTGCATCTGGTTTATTCACTTAATGAAATTCAACAGCATGACGTCTGTTCAAAAATAAGGTGAATGTTCAAATTTCGCGGAATACATACATTCGATTAGCGACTTTTTAAGTTGATACACTCTTCTCGAACATATGTTCACAGTTTCAGCTGTTTAGCATATTTTGCGTGTTCAGGGTTTTTCTGCTATCGAAAAAAACGTGTCACAGAATTTGCATAAAATTTTGTGTGAAAAATCGTATACTTGAAATGTTGACAATGATATACGGTGATTGTACTTCGAGTCAGAGAAATGTTTAGTGGTACAAGCTTTTCACTGAAGGTCGAAAAGATGTGAATGACGACGCTTGCACTGGATACCCTATAGCACATTGACAATGGATAAAGATGTTGAGAAAGTGAAGAAAATTGTGTAGAATCATTGAATTACTATAAAAGAAATGGCTGAGAATGTTGCCACATCGGTTGGCTCATGCCATGCTATTTTTTCGTAAATTTTGGCCATGAAGCATGTGGCAACAAAGTTCGTTCCAAAATTGCTGAATTTTCAACAAAAAAATCGTCGTAAAACCACCCCTCAGTAATTGTTGAATGACGTCAACGGCGATCCAGATTTATTTAAAAAGTTCATAAATGTTGTCGAATCATGATTATGACATCGAAACCAAAGCCCAATTGTCCCAATGGAAGAGCCCAGGAGAGCCAAAACCAAAAAAGCACGCCAAGTTCGATCAAATTTTAAGATTTTGCTCACTGTTTTCTTCGATTAACTTGGCGTAGTGCATCAAGAGTTCCTGCGACATGGCAAGTTATGTGCCGCTTGCGAGAAGCAATATGAAGAAATTGTCTTGTATTGTGGAAAAACAATTCATGGCTTTTGCATCACGATAATGCACCTGCTCACTCTTCATTGCTTGTTCGTAATTTTTTAGCCAGAAACAACACCATAATCATGTCTCAGACACCGTATTTACCAGATTTGGCTCCCTGCAACTGTTTCCTATTCCCAAGATTGAAGAGACCCATGAAAGTACGATGTTTTGCAACGATTTAGGAGATAAAAACCGAATCACTGAAATGACTACTTTGAAGAAGACAAAATAGAAATTGATGGATAAATAAACAGTTTTTGAGAAAAATTAAAATTCACCTTATTTTTTTAACAGATCTCTTACTTTCAAGCAACTCCTGCAGGGTGACATATTTCATTCACAAACTGACAGCATCATACCAATTTAATTATTATTATAATTACTAGATAGGTTAGTTTCGTATTTTCGCATTTATGACGATGTATCTCTGTAGTTGTNAATAGAAAAAACTAACCAGAAAATGAATCAGTTGGTTCACCATGATGTTTTATGAACATCTCAGTATTCAGATATGAAGAGTCTTACAATAAGAAATGTAAAGACCAATTGAATACTGAATACTCATTTAAAATTTCAAGAGTACATATTGTTTTTACTTCTATATTATGATTCATAATAAATATTGTAATTGTTTTTACAACAATACTAACCCAAACCAGTATGGCCATCAGCGTTTCCCAATTCGGCCAACTCAACAAACATATCCCTGGCAACATATATATCTTGCTTTAAAGGATTGCCAAATAATTTTGCCCAAGCAACTAGTGCCTTTGCTGCTACACTGCCTTTATTCGATGCTTCCATCAAGAGCTGATAGGCCTGTTGCCTATCTGGCTTAGTTCTGTTAAGCATAGAGGTCGCAGTTTCATAAATTGTTTTGGCTTCAATTTCTTCTTCAGTAAGTTCTGGTGGATGCAAAGCTCCTTCTGGTAAAGGGGGTACCTTTTCTGGTACACCTACCAAATTCTCTTGTAAGCTATTAACCAAGTCAAAGTGCTGGACCATTTTTTGAATAACTTTGGCTTTGTCCAAAATGAATAAGTCGACCACTTCTGATATTTCATTCTCCGATAGTGTAACTGAAATTAGAAAGGTGTTTGTAAAACTGGTATACCAGGGTTATTGGTTGACTGAAATTTAAAATTTCAGACTAAACTAAAAAAGGGAAAATCAATTTACAAATGAAGAGAAGGATACAAGATTTCTCTATGATAAGAAATGTATGGAAAAGTATTTTGTGAAGATAATTGTTCAGAAAATATCCTGTTTTCAACTTTCTTCTNAGCCACGACAAGAATTCGATATGTTAAGCGTCAAGCTAGTGAAACTACCAGCGATGAACCTATAGCTTCTCCGGAAAAAAAATTGGGATTGAATTTTTCAACTGTCTTTTGGACAATACATTAATTTCAGTCAATGAAAGATTTGAACAGTTAAATGAGTACTCGGAATATTGGTCTTTTTTGTACAATATAAAACAAATTCCGGAAAAACCTGACCTTGTCAAACTCTGTGGTGATCTCCAATTGAAATTAACTGTAGACTCTAAATCAGATATAGATGGGTGTATGTTGTATGATGAACTCATAAGTCTGAAATCTTTTTTGCCTGATCACAGAATGTGGCTACCCGTTTTTGTTTTAAATTTGATCAAAAATCGCAACTTACAAGAACTGTATCCAAATGTATGGATAGCAATGCGCATATTATTAACTATACCTGTAACGGTTGCTAGTGGGAAGAGGAGTTTTTCCAAGCTCAAGCTGATAAAAACCTATCTGCGATCGACAATATCTCAATCCCGATTGACAAACTCGGCAACTTTGTCAATCGAGAATGAAATAGCTGAAAATCTCGACTTTGATAAAATAATAAGAGTTCCCTGACAGAAAGGCTAGAAAAGTCAAATTTTATTAGTTTTTTTTTAATAAATGGTTATTTCTTTTAATAAATGGTTATTTCTTTTAATAAATGGTAAATTTAATTATATCTTTTTCCTTTTTTCATATGGGTTTGAATTGCAGGGGGCGCCGTATAAATCTCGCCCAGGGTGCTGGTAGTACTAAAACCAGCACTGGATTAGTTAATAACACTAGTGAGAACAACTTCTGATATAAAGATGTCCAAGAAGTAGTCCATGAACTTTAAGGTAAATAAAAAAATTATATGTTTTACAGTTTGTCGAAATTAAATATGAAATACTTTCTGACAATTTGATTTTGGTGAATCTGATGTGCTTATTCAAGAGTACCAAATTATTTTCATTTATTTTCGTGATTTTTTTAAGAAACTTCATTAGATAAAGCAACACCAACATGCTGGTCGGAAAACTAGCTAAAAACAATGGTACAATAAAATAATATCATCAAGATTCACTTGAGAATCCGTATTCACAATACAAATGTCTAGTTTTTTTTTGAGTAAAGGAATTAATATCTCAAGAAGGGGTCATTTTTTTTAGGGTGTATTACATAAACTCTTGCAATAGAATGCCAGGTATTCAAAAATGTGAAAATATACAAAG